TAATGAATCTTTTTTTATGGAGAAAATTTGTATTGTTTCTATAGGAATGTGTAATCTGGGCCACTGTAAAGGCTGAAGCCAGCCATGTTTCAGATGGATAAGCTTATTTTCCTAATATTTGAAAAGGATTGTATTTGAAAACCTATGATACGTAATAGAGTAAGAAATAATCACATCTATTGTTATGTAATGTGCAGTTAGTTTTGTATCTAATATTGAACCCAATTCTTCATTAAATCAGGTCACTCCTGTACTATCAAATGTAAACTGACATTTGAGAGAGTGGTGGATTTTTTTAAGGACAAATAAACATGGTTTTTTTGAATATTGTTTTTAACAAGATAAAAAAGATTTAATTCCTCCTCCATGAGAGAAAGCTGGTATTATTTTTTTTTAATTGGATGTACTTTTTAAAACTGGTCATGCCCATTAGAAAGACTTAAAATCCAACAAATGGCAAATGCAACAAAATTAATTAATTTTAATAATTTTACTTTAATACAATAAAATTATTCAAGCTTTTGTCCTGTCCACTACAACTGCTACACAGCTGTCTAGCATGAATAGTATTCTATAGACATCTGTGGCAGTTAAAAACAGCTAAGAATTATGAAAGCTATACCAAAATGGTGAAACTAATAGAGCCTGCTAATTCATTTCACACAATAATGCAATGACAAGTGACAATTTGACCATGCATTTTAACCGAGTACTCATTTTTGCTTGTAATTTCATATGAACATCCATTCAAGTGATTAAAGGAGAGCACTGTATAGAGCAGCCTTTAAAATATTTGGTCTGCTGTAACAATATTTTAAGAAGAATTTTAGTTTGCATTTTAATGCAAAACTAAATAATGCTAAATGTCAGTCCACTGCATGATATTTTAGCTGGTATTTGCCATTTTAGCCTTTTTCCTAACATACATTTTGTTTTCTGTGTATCATACAGATGTATGTTCTATATCACTGAGCTGCATATGATCATCAGATTTATGATCTAGATATTTGTATGTCATATACATAAAAGTTGTTTTACAGATGAAACAGCTTCTAGTTATTGCCCTGCTTTAAAGCATTCTGCTTATGATACAGTTGTTTCCAAATTAGTGCTCCTTTGTGACATCCTAGGGCAACTTCTATTTCTTTGCACTGAGAAACTTTAAATCTTGGTTAGCTTAAACACTAACACAATCCAAGAAAGTTACTGTATATCTATCTTTGTAACTCCTAGAGGTAAAGCTGAGCCACGCTGGAATGGTACTAGCTGGAACGAGGTCACAGAATCATTTAGGTTGGAAAACACCCCTTAAGATCATGGAGTCCAACCATTAACCTAGCACTGCCAAATCTACCACTAAATCATGTCCCTAAGCACCACATCTACGGGTCTTTTAAATGTAAGTCATTAAAATAAAAAGTGGTTTAAATTGGAATACAAATAATGTTAGCATTACAATAGCATACCTGTCTTATACACACTGTGTGAAAGAATTTCAACTGACCCTTGCAATGCCTTTGTGTGAAGGCAATTAGGAAATCACTAATGTAACATACAGGAGGAATTAAGTGCTCAAGACATAGCTCTGCTTAAAGTTATTTAACACGTACTACTAGTTACACCCACCACTAACATAACAGCTCAATCTTGATACTAATTTAATATTAACATGATACGGTTCTCTTTTCCCCTCTTACACATTTTCCCTATTCATGCTTAGTACATGAATATATCCAGTCAACATAATTTCAGCACTCAGGACTTTGCAGGATGAGAAGTCCTTTGAAAGAAACATTGACTTTCTACGGCAACAGAGGGAAAACGAGGTTCCCCCTCCTAGCTAGAACCTTTAGGCACAACAGTTAGGATAGTAACAGTAATGATCACCTTCATCTGACTTCAGCAAATTCCATACCATGTATTCAGTTTGCTGGCATGGAACTGTTGAACCACTAGGAATACAAAATAAGCCTGTATATTGAATTTGTGGATTTTCTTCATCAAAATATGGATATTTTGCTACTGGTTTATTGGCAATTAGATCCAACATAAAGAAATAAATCTCAATATATTATCAAGGACTAACAGGATTGGAATTGTGTAAGTGACTAAATCTAGTTTTTCAAAGTCCAAATTCAATCCATGAATTGATCTTTATTTGGCAAAATTGTTTTATCATGGGAATATGGTTTCAGAGGGGAAAAAGAATGCGTTGCACCTTGTTCCTGGTACACAGTGGAGAATGGCCCAGAAAATTGCTGCATACTGTATTTTTTTTCTTTGATACCTTTTCCATACTGGCAACTTTTTAAAGGCATGCAGTTATACAGATACCTATAGTGAATAGTTGGTACTTTTAAATGTGTTTCTAGGCACAAGTAGATGAGCATCAGGAAGGCTTATGTCTCCTACAAAAAAGCAGAATCTCCCTGGGTTCCTCAAACTCTTGTAGAAACTGAGAGCTAGAACCTAGTGTTCTTACCTGCAGTACTGCTATTCCTTCAGAAAAGGGCATAAAGTATTTAACCTGTGGAAACTCCTGCAAGTACTGGCTCCCATGACAGAATTTTCTCTTTAGTGGAAAAGAACAAGATGGTCCTTTGGGGAATTTCTGCCTTGTCTTATGAGTCATCTATGCTGAGTTGACAACTTATTTCACTATATTTACAGTGACATTAAATAAGGTCATTCAGAAAATGTAATTGTACTGGTGTTAGGATAAGCTAACCCTGATGTATTGCAATATTAAAATAGTCCAAATTAAAGAATTACGTTAATTATTAAAGAATTATGTTGCATTTAAGGACAGAAAACTAAATTCTCTGGAGTTATTCTCACTGATAGGCTTTGTTCTGTGTATTTTCAGACTGAGGTAAGTATCTCTGAGTAATGTAACTGCCCTAGCGTAGTGTCAGGGTGTGTGTGTGAACGAATACATATTTCAGAAGAGGCTTTAACACCTCTTCTTCCAAAATATATAAAATAGATATATAGCCTTCACTTGGAGTTGAGATCTCACTTGGAGTATTGTCTACAGTTCCAGTGTCCTCAACATAAAAAGGACATGGAACTGTTGGAACAAGTCCAGAGGAGGGCCACGAGGATGATCAGGGGACTGGAGCACCTCCCATATGAAGACAGGCTGAGAAAGTTGGGGCTGTTCAGCCTGGAGAAGGCTGCATGGAGACCTCATAGCAGCCTTCCAGTATCTGAAGGGGGCCTACAAGGATGCTGGGGAGGGACTGTTCATTAGGGACTGTAGTGATAGGACAAGGGGTTACAGGTTCAAACTTAAACAGGGGAAGTTTAGATTGGATATAAGGAAGAAATTCTTTACTGTGAGGGTGTTGAGGCACTGGAATGGGTTGCCCAAGGAAGCCGTGAATGCTCCATCCCTGGCAGTGTTCAAGGCCAGGCTGGACAGAGCCTTGGGTGACATGGTTTAGTGTGAGGTGTCCCTGCCCATGGCAGGGAGGTTGGAACTAGATGTTCTTAAGGTCCTTTCCAACCCTAACTATTCTATGATTCTATGATTCTTTCAAAATCAAGCCATTCAGAATTAATTTAATGCAAAATCTTTCTTATTAGTTTCAGACTTTCAGCAGCTGGAGCAGGATGCTTTCATTTTTTATGAGCAATTCTCATTCTTAAATTAATGGAATGTGGATCAGTGTTTCCATATTAAGAGATGATTCTTCCACAGTTCATCTTTTCCACCAGTAATAGATACCTGCCACCCCTGGCAGTTAAGAAATCCAACTCATACTGACTGTTTTCAAATGTGTTTCGAAATGAGACTTAAGCAAATGTTCTTCTGTTGGCAGTTTGAATCATTATTTGACTTTACTCAGTTTGCAGATGCAAGCAGGGCATGTTGTGAATACACAAGCATTTTTACAGTGTACTTTATTAATTCTTAAAGTTAGAAATTATGTGTTCATCATCTGTCATCATCATATTGGGATGGGCTTGGGACCCTTAAGCCCTTTCTTCTCTCCTCACAGCCTACCCCATTAGCACAGACAGCCTTCATCATCATGGCAAAAAAAGTAACGGTACAATATTTTTCCCAAAGCCACACTGGGACAGTTAAAGCCTATGCATAACAATGGTTAGATTTTCCATTAAAGCATACTGATACTTCTCCTAGTCTTTTCGTAGCTCTGACAGGACAAAAGCATGACTAGTTTATCAGCTAAACAGTTTGTAGGAACCCAGAAATGCACTTCTATTTGGCAAGCATTGTGTGATGCTGCTTTCCTAATGATTTGGGACATGGAGAATGTATTTTTGATTGCTCTAAGGTTGTTTTCTAAAGGATTCCCAGCAAATACAAGCACACATATAATTCGGAATCGGTGTTGCAAGCATTTTCATGGTCCTTGGAGTAACCATGGTTTTATTCTACCAGTGACTATACTAATTAGAACTGTCAGGGAGTAGCAAGGGTCAATCTGCAGAAGAGAAGAATCTGTAGGGGACAGAATGGAAGTGGAGACTCCAAGACCCATGTATATCTTTAGAGGTATTCCTTATAGGAGGCTAGGTCACAGCAGAACCTGTATCAAACAGAATGACCCATATCCACCCTTTGCATAGACAAAAACTATGCTGAAGTCCATTGAGTTGATTCAGAATTAAACATAGACTGAAACAACGTAAGGCAGAATCCCAGTGCCATAAAAAGTTAAAATAGAGTTGTGTGGTATGTACCTAGAGTCTTTACGGCAGCACCTGCATATTCCCAGGAAAATGGCCAAGGACTTTATAACGACAGCTCTCAACTATGCAGAACAGATGAGAACCTCTTCTTAGCAGTAAATAAACTTGCTCATTTTGTGTCTGAGTCATCAAAACTTGTCTCTCTAATTAAAGGTCTTTTAATTCTTTGGTCTTATTCTTGCCTATTTTTCCTATTAGTGAAATGTAACAAGTATATATAAATAATTTAAAAAGATAAAATAATACATATCCAGAAAAAAATATTCCTATTTTTACAGGGAGGATCTGACATCTGACAAGAATTCCTTCCTGAGCTTTATCTGCAATAGTATTGTTATCAGTCAGCTTTTTTGCTTTTTTTTTGTGCATGCACACAGCTGCTCTTCAGAAGATGATCATTTCAGATCTTAAAATAACATTTCACCTTCATTATTCATCACAGCTGTCTGAAAATTCACATGAGGAGAAGTACATTTGTAGTGATGTGGAATGTTGGGATATTTTTGCTGTGGGTTAGCATGTGTGTCAGAAGAAAGGTTTCAGAAACTACTTCAACTGTAGATATTAAAAGGAAAGACCATAAATCTTGTGATGGAGAAGCTGATGGTGGTATAAAAGGACAGATTCTCCAACTACTCTGCAGATCTTGACTAACACAAGGACACACTATGTTACAAAAGGGAACTAATGTGTTCCTCTCTTTCCTGCCTGCTTCTCCAGTTAGAATCGAAGGATGTTTTTCGGCCAGAAAGACTTTGCCTGCAGGGAATTGTAAGACATTGTAAGATTATTAATCTGTTTTATCATGAGATGGATTACTGTAACCATGCATTTAAACTTGTCTTGTCCTGATCATGTGATGAATCACAGAATGTTGCAGCAGAAACATATACATGGCAGATATATACGTAGCAGGCTCGTTGAATCTAAAGGAAGTTTGCTATCAGAGTCTTGACAGTATCAAGAGTTTGAGATGCCACACTTAGCCTGTGGAAAGTATGAGTGTTGCTGCAGAGGCTCTCTGTGATAATGCCTTTGCTGTCTAGATACAGACCAACTGCACTTGTTTCTGTGATCTCTACTGAGATGCATGTACCTGTTTCTCAATGCATACAATGCATACTCTGCCTTGCACAATTCTATTAGCTTGGGGCTAAACCTGGCATGACTGCTAAAAGGCTTCTTTGGCCAGAATTCCTGGCAAGTATTTTAAGGAAGGTTTTGCTTGCAATTAGCTGACAGAAGGATATAATCATTGATTACTTGCAGCAGAAAGCACAGTAATCCATTGTTAGACAGTAATGGGAAAAGAAGATGGTATTTGTGAAGAGAAAATAAGTATTATATCATGATTGTTCTTTACTCTCAAATGTTTACTAAATGAAAAGTACAAATGTTGACTTTTTTTTTTGCTGTTTTTTTCAGATGGCATTAAGCTATGTCTTTTAAGAAAAGTATAGGAAATACAGTTACAATGTTGTTTAAAACTATTCTAGATTTCATTTTGTGCATCACCAAGGTGAAACTTTGGTTCTGTCTCTCCTAATAGGTATTTTTTGGAAAAGACTCATGGTACAAAAGTAATTGCTTCCAGATGCATTGTTTTTAAAAAGTGCTTGGTAAACAAGATATCACAGAGTTAGATAATAAGAACATACTGGGGCCTCTCTGTGGTATGGTCTGGGCTGTATCAGAAGCATATGCCCACAGCCTGGAGCTCTGAGTTCAGATACCACTGAATGTGGGCAGATTATGGTAAGATAGCTAAATAGTTTCTGCCCCTATCTATCTGTTCTACTTCTTTCCTGAAAGCTTGTATTTCCATGATATGGGAAGGTAAAGAGCCTAAAAGTGCTTTTAAAATTGCATGGGCTGAAGGTGTCTGAGGTGTCTATGTTCCTTTGTGAAATGTGTGTCACTAGACAAAAGGGAGGAAGCAACTAAAAACCAAACGAGGCGAGGTCTGAAGCTCTGCACAGCCTTCGCTTCCACTCTGGTACAGGCCAGATCCTATTTCATTTATTATTAAAACTCCTGCTGAGCTTCTAGAAATTGGTATCAGGGAAGAACACATTTTGCATGGAAAAGTGCTGTAGAATACAAGCGAGGAGAATGTGACTGCGAATGACAGTGGGAGTGGTTTTGCTTTGTCTAAGTTTGAAATAGGAGAACAGGATAGACTGCTGAAAGCAACTCCAGCAATGCAATACCCAGTATCGGGAGAACAAAATCCTTTTGTTTCCTGACCTCGGCCTCATCAAACAAACCAAGAGAAAAGTGTTATAGAGCTGGAGGAATCTGTTTACTGGAAAGAATACTGAGACTCTATGATGGCATCTTACAGCACAAAGGATGTTGGAACGGAACAGACCTATTCTGGAAAACAGAAGCAGCGACGATGCCCAGATTACAGCAAAGTCAATGGAAAATGAACTTGCATGAACTAAAAAGTAAACCCTGTCAATAATTTTGATTCCTTTATTTAGCTGACAACTGTACCTAAAATTGATCTCAGTTATACTGACGTAAGATGTTTTAAGGACTGTTTAATTGATGTGCATTTAACTCTGTGTGCAATGTCCCAGTTAAATATGCTTGTGCCTTCAAAAATGCATGATGTGTTTGAGTAAATCATGGTGAAAAATATCTATCCAAAATAAATATTAATTTTCTATATTGTAGACTTAATGAAGCTAACTGTTCCTTAGTGCTTTCCTGCAATGAGCTCTGGAAGCTCCTGATCATCTCGCTGTAGTAACAGAGAGTTTCTTTAGTATTTGTGCTTTGTTTTCCCTGCCAAACAGGCTTCAATATTCTTACACTCTGTACCTTGATGTGCATTGGTTTGGTATATGTAATTAATCATCTAACCTATGTACTTTGCTTCTTGACTGGATAATACACTTTCAAAATAGGAAATATATACCGTATCATAAATAACGCATTTTCATATTAGATTCTGGTATTAACTTCCTTATTTGTATTAAGCTTTATGATTTTTCTGGAATTTATGACCACTTTTGATTGCACTATAGATTAGAGTAAGTAGCAGTAGCCAACTGAATTCTGTGCTTTTATTCAAAATCACTTCAATTATTAGGAAAAATATAAACATATTAAATATAGGCCTACAAATTCTATTCCAAACTATTATCAATACCTTCCCACTGTTTTTATTCGTGTTTCTAAAAAATATGATCAAAATGACATCATAAGACAGAATTTTTTCAGTAACAGCACAAAAGTTATAAAATGCATTTCTGGTTTATAAATTTAGCTGAAAAGAAACCAACAGTTGTAAGTTACAAGAAGGAACCCATCATCTGAAAGCAACGATACACTTCGACTTTTCATAGACCCATTTCATCCTGTGGATGAGCTACACACACCAAAAAATTACCAGCTTCAACAAAGCATATGCAGTAAATCATATGACCCTTACACCTGCAGAAAAGAGCTGGGTAAGCACCTGAATCTCACACAGTGTCCTGAAGATCATCATCTCAACCTTAGGCCCTTGTGCAACAGTGCAGTGGAAGCAAGTGTCTTGCACACCTCATCCTGTTCACCCTAATGCGCCATTGTGCCTTTTTGATATGATATAGTTCATTTGGCATGTCTGACAGTGTTGTGTCCTCTCATTCACTTGATGAATTTGTTTATCTAGGAGAAATAATATCAGGATTAATTTTCTGTACTTCCCCATGCAGATTCCCAAAGGGCTGGGATATAGTGCGTTGATAGACTCAAGGGATCAACCCAGTCAAAGAAGCACATCATTTTATCAGGCATCTAAGGAAACAGATGTAGGAACTGTACAATTTTACATGTTCTATAGCTAGATCTGACTTCTGCAAACCCTTTCTTAGCATTTAAATTCAGAATGTTGTCTCTCCTGACCAGCACAGATGTGATGAGCCGAGATCTCGGATACACGCCGAAACATCACTGACAATTTGTTGAACTCTGAATAGGTTTTAATCCTTCAAATTTTATTTTTGTGCTCCTTCTCTTTTTACAACCTGTTCTCCTCCCCCACTGCTACAGAGTCCTGTAATTCTGGATTATACGTGGCAAAAGAACAGAATGGCAGATGGGACTGCTCCATATTTAATGCCTTCAGGGAGAAGAACAACACAAGAGCTTGCAGAGCACGTGTGGTCCACCAGCAGTCTGTCAAATCAAACCCTCATTACTATGGGAAGCTAATGCCTCAAGACTGAGAGTCACACAGCTCAGAGACACACTTCTACTGCAAGAAAACCTGCCATTCTCTCATGAATTTATGAAGAATTCAATCTGAATATTTTGTCAATCAGAGATTTTGCTCAGAAGGCTGGAGATTCGGAAGAGGCATGTAAAGAGGGATACGATCACCTCCCTGTTTCTCCCATTCTGGGACCTGATACAGTGGATGGACACTAATAACAGAAAAACTAGATCATAGCTGTATTGAACCTGAAGCTGTGCTTCAATGTGATCTATGTACTTATTTACAGATACACAGAGAGTAACACGTTTGGTATAATGCGCTGTTATAGTATGTTCATACATCCCTTGTCCCAGGTGTTGTTGCATTTTTTAGTGATTAGCATAAAATCTGTCTTCTCTATTAAAAGCAGTGATTTGGCTCTTGAGAAAGGGTAACGCAGAAGCCTGAGCAAGCTGCACAGGCTGAAGACCTTTTTCCCTTCCAATACACTCTTCTCCAAATTTCAAAGCAGTCCCACCATAAACAAGACTTTCCCTGGTCTTCAGTCTGTGCTGTCTGTCTAGCTCCACTTACTGGGAGAAAAGGAAGGGACTTAGCTTCTGGGCCAGTCGCGAAGGGATGACACTATTCCTCCCTTAAATGAGCAACAGTAGAAAGCAAGAAATGTATCTGTCTGCTGCACCACATAGTTGTTGTTTTTTTGACAGCTGAGATGATTAAGTGTGAGCCTGCAGAGCTCATCTGCTGCTATGGTGTCTGTCTGAACAGAAGAGGAAAAAACTGGGGAAAAGCCCATGCCCTGGGGTTAGTCTGGTGCCTGGACAAGTCTGAGCTGTCTCTAGAGTGTGTTCAAGCAGTAGCAGACTCAGACAGTGGACAGAAACCAGTAGTATGTGGTGATAGTTAATGCATCCTGTGACAGCAAAGCAAAACTGAGCAGCCCTCTTCTTCCAGGTGAGAGATGCAGTCTGCATTAAAAGAAATCTGACAGACCCTCCATTAACTAGGTGGTACGTGCTCTTCTCTTCATCTCTGCTGATCCGCAACAGCCACTTCTGGTAAATGATAATGTACCTGATGATAGCCACTGGCAGGGCAGTACCACTTAAGGCAGTGCCCCTCATTTGGCAGAGGATCCTGGTGGTGCAGACACAGGTTGCCTGACCAAGCACGTTTTTTTATAATTGCTAAATGTTATTTCCCTTCTGCAGTGCCACCTGGCGTCGGTTCCTTGAATGGGGATGTATTTCCAATGTCATTTTTCACAAGGCCCTCTATAATCTTTTTGCATGTAGATCTTTTGAAGGCTCAAATGATCGACCCTGCACAACCTTTTGCATGGATGCAAGCATCATTTCCCTCTGTTACTACAGCCACTCAACTGGTGATCTTCAGTGTTTGGGGGAAAAGCACATGGTCCTGCTAACTGAAGCTTTCCTCCTTTCTGCCAGACAGATGATTTCAGTGGATATTCCACATACACCTCCTTTCATGTTCTTACGCCATCCTCCTTATAACAAAACTTACATTAGCATTACCAATTTCATGCTGATAAAGCAGCAGTAGGTTTGTAACATGGCTTACCGTTAAGC